TACTACAAGGAAAGTTATGTGTATGGAGGCCCAGTGGTGCAGTGGCTAGCGCATCGCGCAGCAGCACCACAGGTCCAGGTTTCGATCCCCAGGCTGGGCAATATATACTCAGCCTTTCATCCCTTGATTTCCATCCTTTGGATCAATAAAATGAGTACCAAGTTCGCTTGGGGACTAAACAGTGGGGGACCTGCGACCAAGCTGACCACTTGTTCAGGGCATATGCTTATGCACCCCGGGGGCCACGGACAAGAAAGCAGTTTTCGGGGCACTGCAGGCATTGGCCCACTAGGGCTGTTACGCCACTGAGTTTAGAGTTTTAGTTAAGTGTATACATTTTTGAAAAGTATGAGAATTTTATTTTTTAAAATGGTAATCCATTAACAACTTCAATAACCACATGAACCTCCCATTGTTTATCAGGTTTACATATGCAGATAATTGTTTCAATCTTGTTTTGTACTCATCAACTGATATTTACAGAGGAACTACTGCCCTTGAAGCCCACTGGCGAATCGAATCAGCATGGTTTCAGACACACCTACTCATATGTGAATAGTGATAGTGGTTGACAAAATATCACTTTTCTTTCTTAAGAAAAGGGGCTACCAAAAGATAAAGCAAAACATTTTGAACATCAGAAATCTCATTTCAAAACAAAATACAAATGTGAACAGATAAAAATTGTGAGATATTTTTCATAATACAGTCAAAAGTCGTTAATCCGGACTCGTCGGGACTTCGGCGATTCGGATTATCGATTTTTCCGGATTATAGATCATCAGTTTAAATCTCGTAAGATGGCATGCAGAAATTCTAAAATTAAAAATATGAAACAGTAATTTATGAAAATAAAGAACAATTATGATCTAAAGGGTATCAAAATCAAAAAGAAAAAAAAAGGCTTAATATTTATTTGTTTACTTTATTATATTAAACATTTCTTTCAATGTAAATTGTTTAAGTTTTGCTTGTTTCATGTGATAATACTTTCTCTTTAATTCTATTAAACAACATAATTTCTGTTCAGTTACAAAGTTCCGCCGTTTCAAGTCCTATATTGCTGTGTCAAGAACACCGACTAATTTGTCAATCGAAATTTTTTTGTTTTTCAATAACCTCTGTCACTTTTCTTCGCTATCGGAAGCGAATATAATGACGAGGACTTGTTTTAAATCATATCAAAGACGAAGCATATCGAGATGAAATACGACATTTGTAATTATAAGCCAATAAATAAAAACATCTGCGCTGAAGATAAGGATAGTGCTGACAAATCAACTTCCAATTCAAACGCGCCCGCCGCCGAGCAGCGTGAAATTGATAAAACAGATTTCGGATTTCAAACATACTTTCGCTTTAGATCCTTTACATATTAACAAAATATATATCGGAAATTCTATTGAATAATCGAAGTTTAAGCTTACTTTTATAAAATTGCTCTTTACAGCTCAAAAATAATACCGGATGCAATTCGAAATTAAGGAACAACGCAATCATCACCATTAACTGAATAGATTTAATTTTTTTACGTCCATTATACATAAAATGTGCACGGAAAACGTATTCTGCACTTGCGCACACTCATATGCGCGTCGTAAAGGTCTTACGTGCAGCGTGAACGCCTCTGCGCATGTCAACGCGGCGCAATGCGCAGAAAGTTTTTAGTTTTGATGTCCGGATTATAGATCATTCCGAATTATGGGTGTCCGAATTAACGACTTTTGACTGTATGAGAAATTGGGAGTCTCCCACCTAAATCAGGATAGTTGGCAAGTCTGCACATACCACATGGATATACTTTTAAACTGTATCTTTATCCCTATACATTTCAGGATCTGTATTTTAAACCTGAGGATTTTTTTTCCTCTCAAAAAAGATAAATGAATAGAAAGAGATTAAGGAAAGCAGTCAAAATGAAAAGAATCAAAAGTTTTTGTTGGTAACAGTTTTTTGTTATTAATTGTCATTTACTACTACAATTTAAAAAAAAGGAACAGAAATTATACTGGTATCTCAGTTCAAGGTTATCAGTAATGTATCACAGAGATATTGCAATACCAGTATACTGAGATACTGAATACCGGTATTTTGAGCAATTTGTATAATTTTGTAATACTAGTATTCAAAAGTTTAAATACTGTTGTTTTGGTATTTACTAGAAATTCTTTAAATTGTCTACGCTATAAGTTCAGGGGTCCCTAACATAGCAAAAGAGTATACATTTTTGTTTTTATGTCTCCCTAACGGACGATATTAATAAGACTGTGAATACAAAGTTGCATCGTACAGTCTAGAGAAGTGATACAATATGTGAATCATCCAAGGAGGCAAGCCAAAACTGTCCTGTCCTATTGCAGCTCAGAGTGATACTGCACACGCGCAGGATTTGTAGTCTGATATTCGTATCTGTGAAAACAAGGTTGTAGTTGTGAAGAAAGTGCATAGTACAGTAGAAGTCCAGAAATCTGCAACGCTTGAGACCAGAGGTTGTGCGGATTTTAGAATTTCGCGTTCTCAGGACAGAAAAGATAATATTCAAACAAAAAGTGCAAAATAAATAAGGCGTATTGGATACATTTAATTAAATTACAGTACAAAGTCTGTAATCCGGACATCCATTATTCGAAATAATTTATAATCCGGACCTCAAAGCCACAAACTTTTTTTTTGTATGCTTTACGTACGCGCGTAAAGAAAGTGCATACATTACGCGCCCTATACTTCCACAGTCATAATATTTTGGTTCTTTACTCATGCTTTATTTTGTGTGTTAGTACTTGAATAACCCTTATTCTTTGTATCAGGAATGCGAATTTTCTCATAAATTTTAAATTTCTCTTTGAATTCAGAAATAGTTTTACACCCATACAAAATAATTTTGTTACTACTCTGATCCAGTATCCCATTGATTACATAATCAAGAATTGATGAATCATCAACAGAACACAACTGGCTGTTTCACGCATAGCAATTAAATATTCGGAAAGGGATTCACCAGGTTTTCTGTGTCGTTTAAGTCCATAGTCTAAATGAACCTCTTTTTTTCCTACTTAGTACGATATTACTTGCATAATCAGAACAGCTTGGCTTAATGATTTGTTTCTCTAACCATTCCGAAATCTGTTTATCAATTTCACTCTGCTCTGCGGGAGGGGGAACGTTGCGGCGGGCAGTGAACTGAAGTTGATCTGTCACACTATCCCACCTTCAGGGCGATGTTTTTTTTTTATTCGGCTTATAATTCCTTACTAAATTGTATTTCTCTCGATGTACTCCGTTTTTGATATGATTTAAATCAAATCCTTGTCATTATAAATATCCAAATACACATCAAATGTTTTTGGTTGCATTTTTAAATTTCTTCTATCATGATGTATGCTTACGCATGCACGCATTGAAAGAAATGTTTAATACATTAAACAAATTAATATTAAGCTTTTTTTTTGTAAATAGATCCCCTTTAGATAATAATTGCTCTTTATTTCATAAATTACAGTTTCATATTTTTAATTTTATAATTTCTGCATGCCATCTTACCAGATTTAAAATGATGATCTATAATTCGGAAAAACCCCTAATCCTGAATCGCCCCTAATCCTAATCCTGAACCCCTAATCCTGAATTCCCGATGAGTCCAGATTGCAGACTTTGTACTGTATTATATACAGAATACAATAATTAATTATATGTATTAAAATATTATTACATATATAAACTGATTATATTATATTGTTCATTTACATTAGGCTTCTCTATTTTTAAATCAGCATGAATTTGCTTCCTCTTTTCTCTCAGGAGTAGTCCTGAAATAGGTACCCCATCACTCCATCACTGCTGGAACCACTCGTACAAGACAGCATCGAGGTTTGTCGATTTTGCCTCATGTAGAGATTTCCGGTGTTAGAATCATTGTTGCAATAACATTTCAACAGCTTTTCTTTATTGCTCCATATATCATACACAGTCCATGTGGCAATTCCATACAATTCTGCCATAAACCGAGCAGTAGCACCTACATCCATCTTTAGCAGAATTTCCACTTTTTTCATTACCGTCAATGCAAGGTGTTTACGTTTTCAACGTTGCAAGCAGTAAAATCACGAGTGCGTTTCTTATCTGTCCTTGTATTAAAAGTTTATTATTTATTAAATTATGTTTTAATCTGTCCTTGTATTATTATATCCTTGTATTAAAAGGCGCTGAAATTTAAAATATTCTTAATTTATCCACAAATATCCAGATAAAAAAAAAAAAAAAAAAAAAAAGACATCACTAAACAATCTCGGGAAATAACCAAGCTCAGAAAGTACAACGTGAAGCGTGAACTTGAAAGAAGAGTTGAGTGAATCGTCTGCTTTTTTATCTCACTGTGCAGATTCGAGGGGAAAAATATTTTTATCATGATGTCAATAATTTGGTATTTCCATTATGACTCATTATTCGGTAAGTATTTTTTTCTTTGATATTTCGTACTCAACAGTGCGGTTACTGGAACCTATAAACTGAATGTTTATATTTTGAGAGGAACGCAGATTTCAGGAGTTGGCGGATTTCAGGTCGGCGGATTTTCGGTATTTGACTGCATTTAAAAAAATTTTGATATTTTTTAAAATTGGTGAATTTGCTGTTCACATTGTATTTGCATATCATATTTTAGGGTTCAAAATATTTCTCAGATTTATCATTTACCCATAATTAATAAACCCATAATAATGAATAAGTACAACTTTAAAAAACATAAAAAATCTCTTGATAATATTTCAGTTTGGTTTCATTATTTATATGATGAAAAGAATATGGAGGTACAATGTAAAAAATGTTCAAGAGTTATTAAAGTGAATGGAAGAAGTACAAGGGCACTCCGTACACACTTAAAAATGAAACATGACACAAATTTGTTAATTAATTAATTGGCAAATTCATTTTTCCGATAAGGAATTTGACTTTTTCACTCTATCAGCTCTACTTCCAATAAAACTGGCTGTGGAGGCATTATGTCAGAGAGATTCTAATTTATTAACAGCTAATGCAACAATAAATTTCATGTTGCAGTCACTGAAAGAACAGCACACATCACTATCTGAAGAATTATATACTTCACTGAAAAATTGCACAGAAGAAAAGTATACCGAAATAGAAAATGTCTTACGGGATTTACATAATTATAATGATTTTTTAAAATGAAAATGAGAAAGAAGAAAAGAGACTAACCAAATCAAATTTGATCAAATTTATAGTAAATTTTCGTAAAATTTTTTACCCGCAAGCCTATCCACATTCAGAAGAGTTCGGTACAGTTATCGAAGATGATGATGACACTAATGTCAATATCGATAGTGAAAAGGAATTGTCTCTTGAGCAAAAATTACAATTAGGGATAACTAAAAATATTTCAACAAACCAAAATAAATTACAGAAATCAGTTTATTTCCAAAACCTTCCAACGAGAAATCGATTTAGTATTTGAAGATGAGGGATTTAGAGGTAAATACTTGAAAAAAGTATATTGCGCATTGCTAACAGTACCACCAACTAGCACAGATGCTGAAAGAGTGTTTTCGACAGCTGGTAATTTTTACACGAAATTACGTTTCAGGCTTAATGACAGTATTGATGTATTATGTTTTTTAAGATCACATTTCAAAAATTTGTAATAGTACCACAGACTGAATAGTGATATTTACACTTTTTGTGATTTAAATACATACGCTATTCCTTGTTTCTTTACTTTTTTGCAATTCTTTATATACTATTATAATTTATAACGCCACAAATGATTTTTTGTGATATTTACGCTCTCTACGAAAACTGGCAAATAAAACAAAGAAACACCCGTATTTTCTTTCTTTTTCTAAAATTCCTACTACCGGTATTAAGATCTAAAAAGTACCAAATACCGGTATTGAACTTTTGGCCCTTAATTGCAATCCCTAGTATCACATAAAGAAAAACAAATTCTGAAGAAATACTTTCATACCGAAAATAATCATCTGGGTAATTTGGTGGCCGTTTTGCTCCAGGTGCAGTGCTATAGCCTGTACTACGTAATAACTTACACACATCATCTATATTAGAATCCATGCTAGATCTTTGAGCACTAGAAAGAAGAATACAGTTAATTAAATAAATATATATGTTGAAGACTGTCTTATAATCTTAGAAGACTCATCAGCCTTTATTTCATGCACATAACTAAACAAAACTTTTAAAAAATAGATCACTTTTGAATTAGGCACACATTCATCTTTTAAGATAAAAACCAATACCAATACAGCAAATAATATTTCAAACTATTTGAAATGACAGAAATTTGAATAAATTTATTGAAAAGTAACCTAGAAGAAAATGCAGATGAGATTATATAATCTAGGGAAGAGGGCAGAAATTCAAGATGCATCTACAAAGTTTTAGGGCTTAATTTTTTCCACCAGTTTCTGTGTTGCTCTCAAATAATTACTACAGCAATGATAATTAATAAGTTCTCCTTTTGTTTCGATTAAAACAAAGATGTCTAAATGGTGTATTTTTATTTTATACAGCCAATATCAGCAACTATGAATTTAGTGAAGCAAGATTTGTCTTATCAATGCAAACTGTCATTCGTCATTCCGTGCCACTTAATGTAGACAGAAGTTTAAATTTCCGAAATCATCCTTTTACTTATCAACTGAGGAAACTAGATATGTTTCTGTTCTTTAATGTGAACTACAACTTTAAAGTACATCATTCTGACAACTTCAGAAATTTAGAAAACCATATTAACAAGCAGGACTGTCCTCCTGCTCGCAGGAAATAGTTTATAGCTTCCCAGTGGCAGAAACTGATTAAAAACAAGAAAATGGCAAAAACTGGAGCAAGCCAATAAGAGATAAAGAATATTGTATTATCAAGACTTTGCAGTTTATTTAATTACTTTTGAATAATAATAATAATATCGGGTTTTAACGAACGTTTTCACCGAAAATATCATCTGCGCAAATATTTGCATTAGCGTGTTTAATTACATTTTGTCAAATGATTTTTGGCATGTGAAAGAAAAAGACTTTAGAACAGTGTGTAGTGAAATCTATAAAAAATATTATTACAATCAAGCACAAGGTGTCTGAAATGGAACTATTACACTACCAGATTAAAACTATCACTTACTTCTAGTACAAAAGGTCTGCAGCTTTAGGTACTAATGTTGTTTCAAAGGACTGCAAATGTTTAGTACCGAAAAATCAAAAATAAGGACTATGACATTCAAGAAGCAGAGTGCTCTCGCCAGCCTACTGATTTCGATGAGGCCTCACTGTGAGAACTCATGGAAGATGATTAGTATGCAACCACTCGAGAGCTTGTTAAAGAGTTAGATTTTAGTGCTATGTCCATCAGTTGAGCTATGCATCGCATAAACTTGACGTACAAGTTCAGTCACTGGGTGCCACATGAGCTGATTCAAGCAGATACGAACAAACATATCAATTCAGCTTTTTCAATAAAGTATCAAAAATCATCATGCAGAAAGTCTAATTTTACTTTCTGCATGATGTTCTAGTTCAGTGGTCTTCAAAATTTTTGGCTCGAAAAACCCTTAGAACTATAAGGTTTTTTCGAAGAACCCTATTCCACACTCAGAAAAATATATCTTAAAATAAATAATATTATTGCATGCGTATGGGTTCGCAATAGACTGAATGCACACAGTTCCTATGACAACACACCTGTAAAGTTACTTAACACACCTGTAAAGTGTTTTATGTGATAAAATTTATTTTATCACATAAAACACTTTACAGGTGTACGACCTTCCACCGCAAAAACTCTTTCATTAATTCCTCCAACTTTATCTTCAACCATGCCTATTCTGCCTTCCTTTCAATTATAGCAAGGCTCTGGAGTCAGTAGAGAAAATGACTGACTCCTGGAAATTTAACACTAGAACGGTAGTAGTGGTCACTTTGAACCCTGAACACTTTTGACCGTTGATTACTTTTGTTTTATTGGAAGACATAGTTTGGAATTTTTTGACTTTTCCTAAATAGATAACAAATATTTGTAAAAAAATTTTCAGCATTCTAGGTTTGTTAGTTTTTGAAATATTGGCATGTATTCCTAGAATGGCGGTCATTTTGAACCCTTTACTTTTATCCCTCTTTCTGCTCGAGGCATTGTCAAATAACCCATGAGAAACATTCATTGATAAGGATTTTTTGATTGCATTCATACTATCCCCCAAAGGGATAAAAACCTGAGTGGTCTCACTACTTTGTAATGTCTACATAAGTTGCTGTTCCTTTGTTTGAAATTATCTATTCGTTTGAAGAAAATATTGCAAGGAAGGTAGATGCAGGGTTTTTCATGCTTACATTTCTTTTCAGAAATAGTTTATTTTACAGATGTATTTTCCCGTTTGTTAGTTCAGCTTACTTTGCAGGTGATAAGAGTTAGGGCAGATGTTTTCTTAGTAATCCGCAAATCAGTATTTCAGTGCATATGAATTCTGCCATCAACTTCCATTATCACCTTTCCTTTCACGCTGTGAGAATCGTATGCTAAAATATAATCTGTATCGTTTTTGATAGTCTGATATTTTTCTACTTTTTTCAACTTTTACAAAATATGTCTAATAAGCGAAAAAGAGGTCTTAGGGATGAAGAAATTAAAAAATTGTTGCAAGAACTATCTGAAAATGTGTCTGACGGAAGTGAAATTGATAATTTTTCTGTAGATGAATGGAAGAATTTCTGTGGATTTTGGAAGATGAATTCCAAACACAAACTATTAAGGAATCCGAGGACAGCGAATTAAACAAAGAACTCAGCAGAAATAAATGGGAATAAAACGGATCAGGGTATTTGCTAAACTGTTTTTACAGCTCCTGAAAACATTACATGGAACGAAATAAATTCCAAAAATTCAGTCTGCGGCCGTGTTCCTGATTATAATGTTTTGAAACAAACAGCAGGACCAACACCTTTTGCAAAGAGTCGTGTTTCTGAAGACAAATACAACTATGGTCGGCACAACGAAAAAGAACAGAAGAGAAATTCTTATATTTTTGAAAAATATGCGTAGTAATCTTTATCCATCGACAACACCTTGATAGATGGGTGTGATATATTCATATATATCACACCCATCTATCAAGGCAAAAGAAACAAAAGCCTTTTTCTACTGAGCTCATTACATTCTACTGTAAAAACTGAAGACAGTCTCAAGATGTTGCCCAATTCAACAGCATTTTACAACGCAACAAAGTATGGTGTGCATATTCGTGATCAGATGTGCCAAAAATATTAAGTTAAATCGGCTTCTAGACGGTGGCCAGTACATATCTTTTTCAATATTTTGGATCACGCAGCTTTGAACACTGGGATAATTTATAAAAGTATAACAGGAAACACCATTAACAGGAGAGACATTTTCTACTGAGATTAGAGAGGAGTTAAGAGTGCTACATATAGCTTCAAAACTCCCAAAGATCCTTCCTGAGTCTTAAAAAAAAAAAAAAAAAAAAAAAAAAAAAAAGAAAATGGATGTAAAGAGAAAAAAGTGTCAAGTACAGATATGCAATGGAAACAAGCCTCAAGAATATTGTGCATCTTGTTCCAAAGTTGTGTGCGGAAAATGCACTGGAATAATTGTTAAAAATTATTTTTGTATCAACTGCATTAATTCTTAATATGTATGTGTAATCTCTAATATTTTAAACATTAAATAGAATTGAAACGATATGCTTCACATAATCGATTCAGTTATACATATAATGATATAATGATATAACTGAAACATTAGAGTACATTTCTCATTTCTGGATTTAGAGTGTGAATCATCTTTCGAGTAAGTACATAAAAAAAATATTATTATATAAATTGTGTTTTATTTAGTTTTAATTGTGAACCATTTATTAAATCAAAAATGAGTAGTAGTATGATCCAATTGATCGCCAGTGTTTTATTGAAACATAGTTTTAATTTGTGAAAAAAAAAAACATTTATTAAAAAAAAAAAAAAAAAAAAAAAAAAAAAAAAAAAAAAAAAAAAAAAAAAAAAAAAAAAAAAAAAAAAAAAAAAAAAAAAAAAAAAAAATAAAAAAAAAAAAAAAAAAAAAACAAAAAAAAAACAAAAAAAAAAAAAAAAAAAAAAAAAACAAAAAAACAAAAAACAAACATTTTTTATTTTAAAAAGTCAATAAATTATCATGTGATATTAAATATAAATTTTGAAATACATATAAAGTACATATTTGTGTCAATGAATAGCATTTAAAATTGTTTTACCGTTGTTATTTCAGTACTTTCACTAAAGGGTCGAAATGACCACTTACCGCCGTTCTAGTAGGTAAGATTTTCCCACCGTTCTAGTGTTCAAGAATCCGACTCCGACTCCTACTCCCTCATGTGTATATATGTAAACATATACACATGGGTTAAAGCTTTTTTTTTTTAATATAAAAGAAGTAATAGTAATTTCTAAGAAACAGTATAGCTTTGACAAGATCTTTGTTAGAGGACCATAGATCCGATTGGATAAACTTCTGAGCTGAGAAGAGTCTTTTCAGTACGAGAAAGAGCTGTTACTCTTTGGGCTACTTCTTTTAACTTTTCAGAATAGATTTTTACAAGTTCTATATGTTGCAAATAACTTTTATTTGTGATTATATTTCCCATTTGTATTTTACAACATGTGTGGCAACACACTTTTTATATTTTTCTCTTGGCACCGTTTTTTTTAGTTGTTGTCACTGTTTTACTTTACCAATGTAGAATTTACTGTACTTATAATGCCATTTTGTGTTTCAATATATGTTAATTTAGATGAATCTCTGCTTATTTATTTGTCTCCATTCCTAACGTTAGAACTTCATTCAGGTTATGGCCCCAGGCATGATATAACTGTGCGGGGAAATTTATGAAAGCGAAGTGGAGATAAACATTAGCAGCAGTTCGTAAGCCTAACTCGGCAGTTCTTAAGCCTTACTTCAGTCGGCAAATTAGTTCACAAAAATGGAAGTTGCAAAGATATCAGTTAAGCCATTATGCAGAAAAAGTGATTGGCCTATTTGGAAATATCGAATTAAGTTCGTATTAAATTATCACGAAAACGCTTTAGAAGT